GAGTTCCAGGCCAGCCTGGACTGTTACACAGAGAAACCCTGTCTTCAAAAACAAAGAAAAAACAAAAAGATTTCAGGGTGGTAAGTCTAGATTCCCTGGGTACCATTGAAGGAGAGGGCTTTGATGAGGGCTTTGTGAGGATGTGGAAGACTTGAGGGAGGTTGTGGCCTGGGCATAGAAGCCTGTGGGGAGCGGAGAGCAGGACTGAAAAGTCAAAGGACCTGAGTGTCTGTTCCTGAAGCAGAGGACCCTTGCACCTAGGAGTCCAAGGCTAGCGTGAACAACACAGTGACACCACGTCTCAAGGGAAGTTTAACAAAGATATTGACCGGCTGGAGAGATGGCTGGGTGGGTGGAGCCTGATGGTTAGCGCAGAACCCGTGTTTAAAAGGCGTGACGGCGCATGCCTATAAACCTCAGCGCGTGGCAGTAGACACAGGTGGATTACGAGGGCTTGCTAGCTCCAGGCCAGTGAGAGAACAACACCAGGTTTGACCTCTGGTCTACACACTTGTGCATGCACACGGACGGACGGACGGACGGACACACACACACACACACACACACACACACACATGCACACACACACACCAATGAGCACGTAGCAAGCACAGCTCCTTGGGGGGCCGAGGAAGGAAGACTACAGACCCAAGAGCTGCCTAGGCAACTTAGTAAAAACTAAAAAGTCAAAGGCCAGGGATAGAACCCAATGGTTGAGAGCCAAGCATGTTTGAGGCCAATACTAAAAAAAGAATAAAAAGGGGGGTGGGGTGGATTTTATGGCAGCAAGAATCGATCCAGACTCCATCCTGGTCCTCTTCACGGAAGGAAGGCAAGAACCAGGAAGACAGGAGAGAGACCTCAGCACCGAGGGCTTGGGAAGGAGAGATGCTGGTTCATAGAGGAAGCAGAAGGACGGCTGCTTGATGGGGAAATTCCTTCTGGGATCTCTTTTTGCTTTAGTTTTTGAGATAGGGTCTCATGTTTCCCAGGGCTGACCCTGAACTACCTATGTGGCTGACGATAACCTTGAACTCCTGATCCTCCCGCCTCCACTTCCCAGGTGCCTGAGATTCAGGATAGTACCCCATGCCTGGTGTTTGTTTTGTGGTTTAAGATGGGGTCTTAGGTAACCCAGAGTGGCCACAAATTTGTGATCAGCCTGCCGAGTACAGGGATTATAGGCATGTACCCCAATTGGGGCCACTTCTTACTTCCCACATGGAGCCTCAGTTTAGCACCCCACTCCTTCCCTCCCAGTCCTCTTGGAAACCTCGTGGTCCCAGAGCGCGGGACCTGTCCAGGGTCAGTGCTACTAAATCCAGTGTACCCCTTAACTCATATGCTCTGCACGCATCTCTGTCCCCCCTTCTACAGGTTCCCCTTCTACTTCGAGCTCAAGATTGCTTTTGTGATATGGCTGCTGTCCCCTTACACCAAGGGCTCCAGCGTTCTCTACCGCAAGTTCGTGCATCCTACGCTGTCCAACAAGGAAAAGGTTTGGCCCCACCGTTTCCCAGCCTGGCCCAGCTGAGGCGCCCCCATGCCTGCAGCCACATGCATTTCCCGTGCGTGGCCAGAGCCTGCCGCGCCCTTGCGGAGCCTGGCTCCCTGGGTCGGGCGGTGTCTTTGCCCAGGTGGGAACAAAGGTAACTTGCCTGCAGCCTTACCTCTCGGGTCTCCCATCCCTCCAGGAGATCGACGAATATATCACACAAGCCCGAGACAAGAGCTACGAGACCATGATGAGGGTGGGCAAGAGAGGCCTGAACCTGGCCGCCAATGCCGCAGTCACCGCTGCCGCCAAGGTGAGACAGGGGTGGGTTCAGACTCGCCGGGGCTCCCGCCCTGTTCATCCTGGGTCCTGTCCAGGCCCCTGGGCATCCACCCTGTCTGTCTTCAGGCCGTGGAGGCTTTGGGCTGCGCAGCTCCAGGCTCCAGCCTCGTCTCCTCTACTGTCTGGTCAGTTTCCTCCTCTGGCCAAAGGGAGAAATAATCCCAACACCATGGTAACCTCCGTTTCCACCCCGCCCGCCCTCCCTCTCGCTCTCTTGGTGGTGGTGGTAATCCCAGGGCCAGGGGGTGCTGTCGGAAAAGCTCCGGAGCTTCAGCATGCAGGACCTGACTCTCATTCGAGACGAGGATGCACTGTCACTGCAGGGACCAGATGGCCGCCTCCGACCCGGCCCCGGGGGTCTCCTGGACACCATTGAAGACCTAGGTAATGGCAGGCACGGGGCTGTGGGAAAGAGGACAGGGTTGAAAAGCCCAGCCAGAGAGACCCCTGGACCCTTATTCTCCCTCTCTCTCTCTCAAAAGATTTATGTATTCATTCCTTTATTTAGTATGCATGTATGCCTGCATGCCAGAAGAGGGCGCCAGATCTCATTACAGATGGTTGTGAGCCACCATGTGGTTGCTGGGAATTGAACTCAGGACCTCTGGAAGAACAGCCAGTGCTCTTAACCACTGAGCCATCTCTCCAGCTTCCCTTCCCCCCCCCCATTCTCCTTTCCTCCCCTAACTAGGAGATGACCCTGCCCTGAGCGTAAGGTCTAGCACAAGCCAGGCAGAACTCCGGACTGAGACCTCAGAAGACGACCTGGGAGATAAGGCAACCAAGAGGACCAAAACTATCAAAAAAGTGCCCAAAGCTGAGGTGAGACTGCAGGCGGTGGCCTGGGGAGGGGGGGGGGGATGGGGCCGACAGCGGCGTGGGGCCAGGCTGAGCCCCATCATCCTCTCTCCATAGCCAGTGGCTTCCAAGACGCTGAAGACCCGACCCAAGAAAAAGAGTTCTGGAGGGGGCGACTCAGCCTGAGGTCCTCCCGTCCCCCCAACCCCTCCAGTGTAAGACAGTAGCGAGCACTGGGAAGAGCTGCGCGGCCCAGCCCCTCCCCGCTCCACAAGTGGGCCACCAGCCCAAGTGTTTCCGACCCGAGACCCCCGCCCCCCAGATGGCTGTTTCCCGTGCCCCCTCCCCATGGACACTCCTCCAGATGGGGGCTTGGCAACGAGGAGGGAGGCGCAGCTGTAGGGTGGGGGACGGAAGCTGATGACTGAGCCCTGGAGGAGGAGGTGGGGGCTCCTTGGCCGGCCCTGCTCTTCTCGCCGCTCCAGCCCCGCCCCGTCCATCCAGTGCCTTGCTGAAGACCATGGCCAGCCGCTTCTCTGAGCCTCCACCGCTCTTCCTTGGATAGGGGTCGTGGCCGCCACAGTCCAGACAGACCAAGGAGGGGGGGCGGGGCTTAAGGCTCCTCGAGAAGGGGAAGGAATGGGGCAGATCCGAGGGGGGGTATGTCACTCGGGCACAACTGTGAGTGGCAGACACGGGCTGACTTGCTCACTTGCGGGAACTGCAGCTGGTAGGGCCGTGCGCTCTGCATCACCGCCAGAAAGAGGAGGGATTCCAAGGGTATGCATGCTGGGGAGGCTGGGAAAAGTGGTCACTTCCTCCCTACTTCAGCCCTGGTCTTTCTTCCTCTTTATCCTCCCCTGCTGGTCTCTCAGAGGACCCCCGAGCCTTTGACAGAAGGAGGCTCCAAGGGGCCTCTTCCCGATCCGACCCTTCCATCCTGGATCTTTTACCCATTCGCGCCCCTAGGCTGGACTCCTCCTCTCCTAGGGCCCACGGTAGAGGTCCGGCTGAGCTCCTGGCTCCTTTCCTCTCCTGTCAAGGGGACCCGTCCTAACTTGCCATGGGGTCCCCTTCCTGTGCCAAGCAAACCCCTGTCAGAACCAACCTGGACCACTCCCCTGGTCCTGGTTCTACCAGCTTTTTAGGGCCAAGTGGAATCCAGGAAGAAGGAAGAGAAACGAGCCCAGAGGCTCCTGATTCGGTAGTGCCCACTGGATGAGCCAATAAACGAAACTCTGCCACCTCCTCCATTATGGCCTCTGTGTTGTTCTTGTCCCACCAAGGCAATAAGTGGGAAACCCCCCCCCCAGAAGTAAGACCCAACTGTAAGGGGGATAGCAAAAGACAGAGGCAGGTGGATCTGTGAGTTCGAGGCTAACCTGGTCTACAGAGCAAGCTCCAGGACAGCCAGGACCACACAGAGAAACTTGTCTTGAGAATAAATAAGTAAATAAATAAATTAAGAGATCCTTTTTACCCACTCTGGAATCCTCTCGCCAAGCCCTCGGAAGGCATCCCTTTCACTGTTGGCCCCTAAGTCTATTTCTATTGCTTTGATAAACACCATGACCCAAAGCAACGCGTAGAGGAAAGAGTTTATTTCAGGTCACACTCCATCCCTGAGGAAGGTCAGGGCAGGAACTCGAGGCAGGAACCTGGAAGCAGGAACCGAACCGGAGGCCGAGGAGGAACACTGCTTACTGGCTTGTTCCTATGGGTTGCTCAGGCCGCATCTGTATATGGAAGACCACCTTCCCAGGGGCGGCACCGGCCGCAGGGAGCTGGGCGGTCCCACATCTGTCCTTAATTAAGAAAATGCACCACGGGCATCCGATCTGATGGAGGCAATTCCTCAAGATTTCCTCTTCTCAGATGCCCCTCGCCTGTGTCAAGTTGACATAAAAACTAGCCAGCACAGCCCTGGAGGAATTTGGCTTTTTTTTTTTTTTTTTTTTAAAAATTGGAAAGGAGAGGAAGAAGGTACCAATCAAGGAAGAGACTCATTCTAGAAGATTCCTCATAAAGTAAAGTTAGTACCATGCTAGCACTTACATATATAGCCAGGAAAACAGGTCAGGCATTCTGTATAAATTTGATTTGTTACAT